GGGGAAATCTTCATTGATGTAAATCTTGGTTCCCTTCAGCTTCCTGGCTCGTTGCAGAATAGTTATCTTGTCTTTCTCGTTCTTCAACTTGACCATGATCCCCCTTGGACCCCGTTCGGTCAAATTTGGTAATGGTAATGGTAATCTGCTAAACTGAAAACCTGTTAACATGCATGATAAATACTGTGGTGTTGATTATGTTACAGTTATACAGCAGTTTATTAGTCACACCAAGCTAAAACAAAGTCAGTCGAATACAAGGGTAGTTGTATTCGACTGACTTAGTTTTATCTAGGTGACCCTAATAAACTGGCATCTGAATGTTCTGGGTCAGGATTAATAAAGCTAAGACAAAGTTTTGCACACTGCTTCCAGTTTGCCTTGGAAGTATACCGTATCTATATTTAGATTCAGTTTCCTATTTACAGTACCTGCAGAATTCAATTGATAAGTTAAATGACCAGTGGCGGCTCAGGGATGCACAATATGAACCCCCTGTAAAGCTTTATTAGTCAGCACACTGGATACAACTCAACAGGAAAAAATTGCTCTTGGAATAGACATATTACATTGGAAACATTTGAGACAGAATTTCATCTTGTGACTCTGTGCAGTGAGCCAGTATGCACAGTACCAGGACTCATTAATTTGATTATTTACACCTTGTTTACACCACGGTGTGATGCTGCCGTTCCTTTTCACAACACCAAGTGATTAACCATATTGTCCCTTTCCCCCGGAAAACGAGTTTAAGGTGCGCAACAGTCCTGGGCCGTCGATTTGCGTTTCAAAATGCGCCACACAGGACTTCCTTTTGGCACAGTACATTTTTAAACGGCATTTATGGATGTAAATACGTATTGTAGCGCCTGACACAGGTGTACCAAAGTAATCCTGAGCCCATGTGGTTATGTCGCTGATAGAAGAGTGAGGATTCATGACGCAGTGCGAGGGATCGGAGACCTCGGTCATCCAGTTCAGGCTTACAACCTTTGCCCTTTACGCACTGAAATGAATCATTTTCTCACCCATATGTTGTCAAACTGGCGGGCTGGGCTTTTCCTTGATGCCACTTTTGTACCAAGTCATGACTGACATCACCTGTTTCAACTGGAATCATCATTCCATTGTTTTACCTCATTATTAGCCCTGAAATGCAACTGCCCCGACTTTTTTGGAACGTGTTGCAGCATCGGAATTGAAATGAGTATTTATTTTGAACAAAGAATAAAATTGACGAGGTATTACATTAAATAATGTGTAGTACAGGACACAGATACACGGCACCATTTTCAGTTTTAGTTTTGACTTTACATTTGTCCCAACGTTTTTCTGATTTGGGGTTTTACAAGCAAATAAAAAAAAAAAAAAAAAACATTGAAACTTTCTAGAATTCAAGTTGATATCATCAAAAGGGTAGATTTGTCTGACTAAAATAGCCAAAATATTTGAGTTTACAGTGAATAAAGAAAACAAGGGTAAGCAGTAAATCTTAATATGTGAGGCCGGAACCACCAAATGTTTGGTATGAACGGATCAAACCGGATCAAATCATTAAAATTGGCATCAATTAATTTTAATTTTCAACTGACTAATTGAAAAAGCACATAAATAATATAAACACAATATGAAATCATGTAAATGATCGAGTTTAGTAGTTCTGCTTGCAGGGTGCATTAGAACTGAACCTCATTCTTTCCTGTGCTTTTTTTCTTCCTTCTGTTTGTTCTTAAATAAGGTCCAATGTGCATCTAGGGTTGCTGTAAACACCAAAGATGTGAGAAGTAATTCACAGTTGATAGCGATGTAAAAGTTGTGGAACCATCAGTCGCATGAATCCCACGTGTTGCATCATGCAACAGGGGATGAGAGGAGAAGGGGGGCTGGAGATGGCAAGGGAGGGGTGAGGAAGAGGAGGGGAGGTGAAGAGAAATGTAAGAAACAAGAAGTAGGACAAGAAGTAGGCTGACAAGGAAGGGAGAAAGGAGGGAATACTGGAAGTTCAGTAGACAGAAAGGAGAGAGAGGCATAATAAGTAGTGTGGCAGACAGTGGTGGAAAGATGTGCCAGAGATAAATGAGCTGTACTTCTGTATGTCTATATGATCACTGAGCTGCTTGAGCTCAGCAGGCTCAGTCCGCTCGTCACTACACTGGATGATGGGGGGTGCGGGGCTCTGCTACCCGCAGCTCCTCAACTCATCCTGCAGGGGTATAATGCGCCCTCGCTCTGAGGCTGTGGTCCTCTATGTGGTGTTCTCCTCCATCTCTGCCGTCACTATAGTTCTCAACCTCCTGGTCATCATCTCCATCTCCCACTTCAGACAGCTCCACACCCCAGCCAACCTGCTCCTGCTCTCCCTGGCCATGTCAGACCTCCTGGTGGGGCTGCTGGTGATGCCGGTGGAAACTGTGCGAGTCGTAGAAACCTGCTGGCTGCTGGGTAACCTCATGTGCGCCCTGTCCTTTATTATCGGCTTCACTGTCACATCAACCTCTGTAGGGAACATGGTGCTCATATCCATCGACCGTTACGTGGCTATCTGTTACCCGCTGCAGTACCCTACCATCATCACTCGCCGCAGAGTGGAGGTGTCCGTGTCTCTGTGCTGGGCCTGCTCGCTGCTCTACAACGGGCTGATCTTAAAGGACCACCTCAAGCAGCCAGACAGACACAACTCCTGCTACGGGGAGTGTTTGGTGGTGATTAGCTACGTCTCCGGAGCCGTTGACCTTGTGTTCACGTTTATCGGGCCCTGCTCAGTCATCGTCCTTCTGTACGCGAGGGTGTTTCTTGCGGCAGCGTCTCAGGCTCGCGCCATGCAGCGTCACGTTGTCGCTCGCGCGGGCGGTTCCCAAACAGTCACCGCGAAGAAGTCAGAGAAGAAGGCAGCCAGGGCTCTGGGTATTGTCATACTGGTGTTTTTGATGAGTTTCTGTCCGTATTACTACCCGTCCCTCGCAGGACAGGACACCTCAAACAGTGTTAAATCCTGGGCTTTTGTGTCCTGGCTATTGTATTGTAATTCTTGTGTGAACCCGCTTATATATGCCTTTTTCTACCTGTGGTTTAGAAAAGCTATAAAGCTCATCCTCACCCTGAAGATCCTACAGGAAGGCTCCTCTCAGACAAATATACTTTAAAACTCACCTACACCTGTCCGGTCACCTGGCAGGTGAGAATGTAACAAAATGTACTGCTGCTGATCATCTCTGGTGGTTGCCTGTCAACACAAAGGCAGTGTGAAGTGTGTTTGGTTCCTCTGACAATCTTATGGCATCTGTCCGCTCCTCACTTTCCTCTCAGCATGTTATTCTGACAGCAGACATCTTGGCATAACAGGAAAAGCACAGGTGTAAATGAAACCGGGCAACTTGACACAACTGAGCTATCCTTAACAAAATGTGTTTCACCTGTGTTTTCGCTGCTGTCATCTAAAAATGACTGCTGTGAAAAAGGTTTATTAGGGCTCAACACAAATAACCCTTAAACAAAAGGTCACCTCTTGACAATCGTTTCAAAGTTTGTAATTTAATGCCAAGCCTCTGAAGGATTCGGCCACTACAATGTGAGGATGTGCTGCTTTTCTTTCCCTTACATTGTAGTAAACTGAAAATCTTTGGGCTTTGGACTGTTGGTTTAAAAAAAAAAAACATGAACATGTCATTTTGTTCCAAGAAAGTTGTAATGGCCTTTACAGCAGAAAGTTCTGGCACATCCTCACCCACTGTCAGGCTGCGCAGATAAGGAAAACACAAACTGTAAAACAATTAGAAAAACAACAATGCAGAACAATGACAAGAATCACCAAATTAATCAAGAATTAAAATCTGTTACAGCCTTGACAGCTTTACTGAACGATTTAAGACTTTAAAACTCACATTTTAAACACACTGAATTGAACATAACTGAGGGACTCAAGGCTCGTGTGTATCACACAGAGACAAAACAAAGCCATCCATAAAAACCTGTATGCATTATAATGTAAAGGTTTGTTATATTCTTAGTAATGGACCTTGTGATGGTGTAACAGCTCATCAGGAAAATGACAGTGGAAGGAAAGAAACGAAACATGCATCTATTGTACAGTACACTGTTTCCTATAGTATTTAGTCAGCAAAGCCTTTTTCAGTGATGTCTGTGTAGTTAATTTTATTTTATTTCTGTGTCATGCCAGACAACTGGGCCATCCCACATGGGATTACGAGACAGTTAATTTAACAAAAAGAACATCTTCAGGCATCATGTACAAGAAACAGCTCACATCATTCAAAGTGATAACTGTCTACAATTCATCTTGATAGAACTTTTTTTTTTTCTCATCTCTCAGGCTTTTTCCAAGCAGCTGGCAGATTTAAATATTTCATATGTAAACAACCAGCTTAATTTTTCTGTATCATCCATATTTACAAGATAAATGCCGGCTTTATTTTACTAAACAAAGTGCTGTGCAGCTCCCAGTAAAAAGGACAATAGAAAATAAAGTGAAGCTCGTTTTCTATATCATTCAAACACAGTGAACAGCTGCGCTTCTCTTCTAAATCAACAAACCATCCAGTTTCCCCTGCAAGAGGCAAAATACCAGATCTCGACTGAGTAAATAAATAACAGACATTTCAGTGACACACTGTTTATTTTTGCACAAAGTAGAAGTAAAAGAAATTAATATAAAGTTTGTTTTGTTACAATTTAATGTTCAACATATTTTTAAAATGTTAACAGACACAGTTGATGCTGAAGTCTTCATCTCCTAGACTGAGACTGCGGCCGACGGACTTCTGCAATGAACAGAACAAATAAAGTGAAGCATAGAAGCGCTGTTTACTTGACTTTCTTTTTATTTATATTCATCAATAACAAAAGACAACACAGATTAGTGAATGAATGAATTTATCTTATATAAATAATCATACCAATCAAGCTGTAGAGCCGTATATTGTGCTACAAAAAGCCAAGTATTTTCCAAAAACAAAAATAAACCAAAATGTGATTTTTGAAAAGCTAAATATTCTGAGGATGGATCTGAACCAGCTGTTTAACAAGTATGTAACAGCAAAAAGTGGGACTTTTAAGATGCATCTAAATATTACTCTAGGTGCAGTATGAGTGCAAACAACATTCACACATAAACTATTAGAAATACCAGGGATTTCATGCGGCCAAAAGTCGTCACAGGCTGGACACCGTGGCTCCGCTCTGCCTTGGAAGTATCTGGCCACACATGGGTTGTGTATTTTTATGCCACATGTAGGATTCTCACAAATTTGGCACTAGAAAACAGGAAAGAAACAATGAGATCGGGTTAAGGCCTGTCACGCTTTAGCCAGACTAAAGCAACATTTACCTTCATTGTTTACAAAGTAAGCAAAGTCATCACAAAGCTAATAGCGTTACTGTCTAAAGACATCAACAACTAGACAGGACAGGCAGGAAAAACCAAGCAAAACTAAGAATGATCCAAAATAAAAAATCCAGAGCACATCACAGTGTACATACAGTATGAAACTCATCGATTGTACTGCAGCAACATGTAAATCACATTATTTACCAAATGAAATCTTGGTCATTTACTCTATATTTATGTAGTTACTCAACACCAAGCTGTGTGGCTTCCAAAGTGATTCACTCCTTTAAACTAAATATTATACATTATGTACAAATATTGTGTAAAAATTCTACACAGAATTATAAAAAATGATATGTCATATGTTATGTAATAACAGCTTCATAACAGTAGAATTATTTAAATATATTCACTTATTACAAAATTGCTAGTAAGGATATATTCTTAGTAACATTTATGAATATGGTCCTGCTAACAGTCTTAAAGAAACAAAGTGTCACGCACATGACAGATTTACACTGGTATTTCATAATACTCATTATAACACTCAGTATTAAAATTAGTATTAGTTTGTAAATGACAGAGCCGATTTCATCTAATTTCATTCATTACTTATCGCAGGAGTAAAAGGTTGGCAAAGCTGATTCACAACAGAGAAAAAGAGGGAATGTGTACCTGGAAAGCGATGTTGTGACAGATGTGGCACACTTTGACCTGATCCTGATACATTTCGCGGATGTAAGGCTCCATCTCTATGATACACCTGGTGGACAAGGTGTACTCCCCTCGTTTCTACATTAATGAGCAGAAATCAGTTACAATGAAATAAATAAAATGGGTGCACAAGTTTCTACTTGCTAGTAGACTTCGGAGCAGAAATCAGTTACAATGAAATAAACAAAATGGGTGCACAAGTGGCTCTGTGCTAAGTTTCTACTTGCTAGTAGACTTCATGGATAATGTGAGTGAAATAACTTGGAAAAATAAATCTAGATTACAAAAACACTATAGTGTGATTACTGTCACATATTTCTTTACACTGAGCAGAGTCTGGCTTTGTAAATGTGAACACATCTGTGACATCCTGTAGGATGACATACCTGGATTTGTTGAACATCTTGTGGACTATTCTCACCTCCCTGAATCATACATTTTTATGCTTTTCACTAAATATTTTTGTGCTTCAGTGTTCTAATTTCATCCTCTGCTAAATAAACCGTTGATGTTGCAATTTATTTTATTACACATCATACCTCTTAAATGTGAACATGCACAGAGAATTTGTGGATTACCAGTTAATAGTCAGCACCACCAAAGTCAAAGCAACAGCTGGACATTTAGCAAACAATGGGTTAAGCAAACATAATTATTGAAAATGTGATCAAATGCTTACATCTGTCCACCCAAACGGTGTGAAGCAGAGAGAACATGACTTAAGAATTCACTTGTATTTTACCTCACAGAGCCACTTGTCATGCACGAGCCGGTTCAAGAGGTGCTCGGTCTCACTCTTCTTCATCTTTTTTGTGGTCATGGAGTCGACGCTGTTCAGGATGTCAGTGGAGGAGGCCTTACCGTTCTCAGCACCCATAATCAGCTCTATCTGAACCGGAACAAGCTAGTCAGCAACTCCTGAAGAAGCTCGGCACCGATTACATGGCCCATAGCTAGTGCCTGACATTGCTTTGCGAGCAGAACTGGTGATTTTCACAGATCAGGTAATCAAATATTACACCATGTCCACCAACAATTGTTTAAGAACTGTAATCCGTGTTTTAAAGTTAAATATGTGAGCTACTGATTTTACTTAATAGCGACATGCAATATGCCATTAGATATAAACAGAAAGCTAGTATGTTATTATGAGACTAGAGGGGTTTATTTTTCAGGTCCCTCTGTGTAAAATGAACAAAACAACAATGTGACAGTTGAGTGATGTTTCAAGGTCTGATTTCTGCTACAAAGACATCATACAACTACATGTAGAAGGGTTTAACTCACTGTTTTCCTGAACAGCTCCAGTTCGTTGTCGGCGTAATCTGACGACATTCTGGTGACTTCAGTCTCAGACATGTTTACCTGGACGGGATTGAAGTGACACTGTGACTAACGATGCTTCCTGGTGGTTCAACAGAGTTTTAATGAAGTTAACATCCCTCCTACATTATGGGTTTATAAATTAATGACTTTGCGACTGCTTGTTTAATATCAAACACCTTCATCTCCCAGGCAAAAGCAAGTTCCTTTTGTGAAGACATTGTTTAAGTTTAAAACAATCACATCAGGGCTTGATGCTTACATTTATTTTTAGGAGCATTGGTGCGACAGAAACATAGGAGCACTTTTTTTTTTAAAGAAATAGCATTAATGCTGCCGTCTCAGTGTTTCACAGTGACAAAGGTACGAACACATGAATGAACATTCATGAACGAAGTGAGTCTAAACCAAACAGTGACAAAGGTACGAACACATGAATGGTGAACATTCATGAACGAAGTGGGTCTAAACCAACAAGTGAGTCTAAACCAAATGGTGGAGGGAGCCGGAAGTGAGGGAGATGGCGGGCACGTAGCCCTGTTCGGGACAGTCCTGGAAGCATCTTCCAGAAGCTGTGGGAGACAGCTATGCATTGCACTTTAAGAGAGATGGTCAAATGAACCACATGCAAAACCATCTACTTAGTCACCACCCTTAGTCTTTTTCTTGTAAACTAGACCAGTAAGTTTAAAATATAAACTTCTAATAAAGCACAAAATTCACCTTTACATGGCTTGTCTTAATGTATTTTGCTGCCTTCTCCTTGTTCTGGTGCACCATTCAGCAATTTGCTCAGTACCGCCAGTGGCATAGGACACAGCTGTCCCCCGGGTGGAGAGACATGGCTAACGATTGTACGATTGTGGCTGATCGTCACATCACAGCCACATCTAAATAGTTAGCTATGAGCTATTAGCCTAACATGCCTGCTATGGTTAACACATACCAACAAAGGATGGAGACTGTGGGAAATCCTGAAATTATCACGTCATTACCAGTTTTTACCTGTTTAGCAGTTGTTCTGATAAATTAAGTTACTCTACTGGTTTTTTACTTGCAGAGGTTTTACTGCACGTACAGTAATGAGCACAGGTGTTGTCACCTCAGGTAATGCTTCACTTCACCAGGCTCCATCTCTCTCCACTGAGGCCGCTCAGCTACTGTCCACTGTGCGTGTGGAGGAGCTGACTCCCACCCTCGGTCAATGCCAACAGATGTACCAGAGAGGAAAAGCTGCTCCATAAACACTAAAACTACTAATCTCACTCACTGGTCTCTTCAAGTACTGATAAAATGCCCCCAGGCCCTTTTTATTCACATTTGCAAGTGAAATCCTCACACTTTAGAACCCTGTTTCATTAAAACCGGGCCAGACCACAAAGGCCTGGTCCAGGAATTAAAGCAACTAACCAAAGCATAGTATTGTTGACCGCTGTCTTCAGACATCCCTTTCCTGATCTGCATAAACATGGGCTGCAGCTTTGAGTTGATGGTATCGATGAAATCATCCAATTTGTCAGGGGCACACTGTGCTGCAAAAAATAAGGACAAAAAAACAAAAAAAAAACTAAAGTTTATTAGACATATGTAGCTCTCTTATATGCATTTTACCTGTCCCAGTAACAACATTTCAGTGAAAGCAACGTGACAAATCTTGACAAAACTGATTGTAAGGTATATACAGTTATCAAGGCAATTACAGAGTGAGTTGGGCAGTAAGACGAATACACTGGAATCTGACTGAACCTGGACAAATATGGATACTGTATATCAAAGTGTGAGAGATCTAACCTGAACACTCACAGAGTTAGTGATGCTCAAACAAAAAAATGCTACAATCATCCCTGGTCTTCCCTGCATAAATTGGCAGCACATAGTTTACATAAAAAGCAATGGAGAAGGCCTATCTAGACCTATCCTATTTCCTGATATAGAGGTGCAGTCTGAGTTATTCTGGACTTACAACAGTAACTATCTGCACAATATGTATATGACTTACTGTTGTGTGTTTCACAGCAATGCTTATAGAGTGTCCTTGCTTCTTGTTCATCAACAATACCACTGACCATCATGGTTTGAAGAAACCTCCGATGGCTGTCTCCCATCTGTCGTGACATGTCTCCGGACTGACCTAGACACACTGAACAAAGCCGTTGATATAGTCCTCAGTGCTTGTGGTTAGGGTAGTGTGTTAGGGGAAACACATCTCGATGGGGAAAACAACACTGGTTCTGATGTTTACTGTCACTGACATCCATTAACGTTTTAAGTCACTTTTATGAACGAAAATCCCCAGCATTTACAATTTTATGTTTTTCTTTGTTAAATATCAGAGTAAAGTGTTAACACTGATTTTCTTTTTAGCTACTAAGCTACTTACACCGGTACCGTTAAATCAATGAAACGTTAGCGTTAAGTTACACGAGGCGCAACCCGTTTGCTAACCTGCTGTTAACAGTTGATTTTGGTTATTTCCTGTTTAGCTAACTTTAGTTTTAGAGGGGATCATATTTTAAATATTTGCAGAAAAGACCTTAAGTTAAGTTATAATCACACTTACCCCCTCTTCCTCATACATCCCTCTTCTTCTCCTAGATTTCCGGTAGTTGTTTTGTGGCTGACTATTACCGCCCCCTACTGGCCCAATGGGGCACACCATGCTACTCAACAAAGACGTTTCAAACTTCTCACCAGAAATTACCACCCTGATACTCTAATTGTAATTAAAGTTTAATTACAGTAATTAGAGTATCTGGGCATAGGTTTAATTATTAAACCTATGCTTGTACTCATAGCAATGTAAACTCGGCTACTGACAATTCTCACATAAATCTGATGATTTGCTGCTTTAGTAACAACCTATTTTGGAAAAAAGCAAAAAGGAAACAGCAACATACAGCATACAATGTTATCTATTTTATTGTCCTTTTAAAGAAATGCTATTTTTTATTTACAACTTCATGTAAATGTATGGCTGTGGCCTAAATAGAATAGAAGTCTCATAACTCTGAATTTGACAAAAGTATGTTCGTTTTCTCCTCCAGCATACCTATAATGAGCTGCCATGCTGGACAAACATGCCGGCAAGGAACACAATTTCTAAAATACGATCCTATTTCTCATAACTCTGAATTTGACAAAAGTATATTTGTGTTCCCATCATCTTGTTTGCAGGAACCAATTTTTTATTGGTACCAGACACAAACAGCTAATCACAGGCTGTATTTGAAAGTGTTTCCAAGGTATTTTGTGGGATACAATGTTAGTTAAAATTCAGTGTGAAGATGATTGTGTGCAATATTGTTAAGTTCAGTTTAAGCATCACTAGTTTCTTTCTTGTGCTGAGACTAATGAGGAGGTGGGTGGTACTGTTATTGTCAAACAACAATTTTATTCTAAATCCTTTATTATTTTAACAAATTAAATAAGAACATATAATACAAGGTGTCTCGGTCTTTGATTACAATATAGCCTATTATTAACATTTAAATACAGTATCCAAAGTCATCTGGATTTTCCACAGCATTTAACCTAATACTCCAGAACATTATCCCAAACCTTCTGTCTTCAAACATTTCAAGTTCAAAAGGAATCATAAAATAGTTATCATAACGTTGCTTATCAGAGTGAAGCAGGATCAGTGTCTTTACATCCACACAAATAATTTGATTATGGTGAACAGCACAGAATTAGGGTAATAGTGATTAAACAGCTTCCAAGGTCTATAGTACCCCAGTTTCCCCATAACCTGACTTTAAGTTATTTGTTTGTTGGTCAATGTCTGAAAAAATGTGTGTAATAAAGAGGAAAAATCTGTGGCCCATAAAATAAGAGAAGAAAAATAAAGGGTATTCATTGGTCTTTGTTTTCTGTGCTAATGAAATGAATAACTACCAACAACTGGCAGGCTATTTGGTTTATCTTGACTCTAAAACAAATTTCTAACACCATACAGTGGATTAATTTTAAGGTGGAATGAGAGTACTGCCTTAATACATTTAATCAAATTATTCCTGCTTTGCACATACACTGATATTTAGGCTGTATTAAAGACAATACTCAAGGGAAAAATGCACCAACTGGATAAAGAATCAAATCCCAGATTTGTTTTTTAAAATTACAAACAGAAATGTATAATAGCCACTCCAAATAAAAAGCAAAAGTTCCTCTTCAAGCCTGTCCAGTAAGAATGGGGCCTTCCTGGGATAATAAAGCAAAAGGACTGGACCATGATCCAGTGCCTGGAGGTTCCGACACCAACGTTAGCAATTCAACAGAATTTACAGGGATGTGTGCTTGCTGACTGCAAGGAAAACTGTAAGACTGAGAATACTGTCCTAAGCAATTTGTACTTTCTACAGTCACATCACCAACCATTCAGATCAGGTGCACTCAATGTGTCACAGATTGTGGAAACAAAACTCCTTGTCATCACTGTTCAATCAAAACTGAGGAAAAAAAACTGAATGTGCAATAAAAATTACCCACAATGTGAACGGTCAGTAATGTGGTTGAACAGCTAGGCATGTATCAGTCGTTCTCTCAGTTTTGGTCTCCCATGTGGTGATCCGGTAGCATCTCCCTTCTTTATGCACATGATCCAACTCTTTTTCGGAGCTCAGAGGGGTTCTTCTTTTTTTAATCCCACCACTGTCTTCCTATTTCTCCAAAGTGCTCAATATCGACTCAGTGTGCTTGTCATCCACTCTGTCTTTATACTTTCAGTTGGCCGCAGTTGGCTGAAAAAAACCAAACAAAAGAAAAGAACACCAAACCTGAGGACCAAATGTAAGAAATCAGAAATAGAATGAACGGATGATGACAAAATGGTTTTCCCTTATGAAAATGGAAAGTAGTTTATTGTATATGAAACAACAACGGTTGCCTGTTGTGAAACCATCCGAGTATAACTGCCCTCTAAAGAAAGACAAATGACTGTCTGGATGCTGGATGTGTTTGTTATAGAGCATGTGAGTGGAGTGGAAAGCAGGTGAGTGGGCGGAGTCTGGACAGAGCACAGAGTGGCATTTTTAAAAGGGGTGAAGCATCGTCCTATGTTCTGCTCCAATACTGCTCAGACCATGAGCCCGAAGCACGCCCAAGCCCGACCAAGAATGCATCTGTGTCTTGCACAGTCATCCAACACTTTTCAGTCAAAAATTGGCCATTGCAAGCTCAGTAATTGAGTTAATAAAGTACTTTAATTGATTTGTTGAATTTTACCTTTGACCTTTTGTGCTATATTCCTTGCTGCACAGGCCTAACTAATTTGAAAAAAATCATTTCTATTTAGATAAAAGTAGTTGTACTTTAGTCTTTTGGGATGTAAGGCTACGATTTAAGATAAAAGTGAAATACCAATCCATTATCATTCGCTTATCCGGGTCAGGTTCAGTAAGGTTGTCCAGACGTGCCTCTCCCCGGCAACATGTTCCAGCTCCTCTGGCAGGTTTCTGAGGCACTCCCAGGCCAGATGAGATACAATATATAACATCTCCAGCATGTTCTGGGTCTGCCCCATTGTCTTCTACCAGTTGGACATGCTTGGAAGACCTCCAAAAGGAGGCGCCCTGGAGGCATCCTGATGAAATGCCCAAACTACCTCACCTGGCTCCTCTCAAAGAGAAGTCCCTTCCTTCTGGGTGTCCGAGCTCTGCGCCCTATCTCTAAGGGTAAGTCCAGCCACCCTATGAAGGAAACTCATCGGCTCAGCTCCTTCTTCACTGCAACGGTCTGGTACAACATCTGCATTACTGCTGATGCTTCCCCTATCCGCATGTCAATCTCACACTCGATTTCACCCTCATTCATGAACAAGACCCTGAGATACTTGAATTCCTTCACTTGGGGCAGCAACTCACTCCCAACCCAGAGGGAGCAGTCTACCGTTTTCCAGCAGAGTACCGTGGCCTCAGACTTAGAGGTGGTAATTCTCATACTGGTTGCTTCACACTCAGATGCAAACTGCCCCAGTGAGAACTGGAGGTCACGGTGTGATGAAGCCAAAACCACATCATGAGCAAATAGTAGAGACGCAATTGAAGGTTCTCCAAACTGGACACTTTCCTCCCCCATCTATGAAAATCATAAGCAGGATTGGTGACAAGGGACAGCCCTGATGAAGGCTGACACCAACCGGGCATGTGTTAGGGAAAGTGAAATACATGCAGATTATTTCCCCTTTTTTTAGAGAGAGTGGGTGCGATCTGAGTAGAGCAGGATGTAATCTGAGTTGAGCACTGAGCGATAATGAGGGGAGCTGCCTGGTGCAGCGTTGAACGGGGGAGCGGAGCGGGCAAACAGCGAGAGGTAGAAATTCTCACTTCCCCACTCTGCAACATGCTCTGGTTTGCTGTACCTTCTAGTGGCCGGTAGGAAACTGTCCATGTATGTTGATTGACTGTTGCAACTTCTCCTCTTTGGCCCTTCTGCTGTGACATAGCTGTGGAATAAAACAAAAAAAATCTTCTTTTTGTAATGTTTATGTATTCAGATAACCTTCAAACTCAATAGAGACAATATATCATGGTAATCTTCACACAAATACAGCTCTTCAGGCCTCTCACTGTTCTCTTCTCCATGAAGCTGGCCAGGAACTCATCTATATCTGTCTGTCCCTCCAGGAAGTTTTCTGCAGTCTCCTCTGATTCCTCTTCTGCCTGGTGGGCTGCAACTTTTAATCGAGCCTGTAAAGTACTAAGACTGCAACTCTAGTGGAGGACAAAAGACAGAAAATGTAAGGAGAGACATATATTGTGGGGATGGGGGTGCTCAAAAATATTTTAACCCACAAAAGGGGGAGCTAAGCAGAAACATTTGGGAACCACTGGCGTAAGGTAACAACTAGGGATGTTAACAAAACCAAAAACACATGGTACTTTATTGCCACAATAAAACGTCCATGTACAATAATTATCATAATGTTAAAAAATGAATAGAAAAAGGGAAAAATGCCCTTTACTAAATGATAAATCTGTTTGCCATCAGAAGGTTCAATCCAAATGCGAACTTGCCCTAAAACGCATTATAATTAAACCTCTTACCTCACTGAGTTCATGCTGTCTCTGCATCTTTGTCTCAAAGGCTGACTTCATTTGAGTCAGCTGTTCATACTGTCAACACAGCAGACACACAACATAAGCTCCTAGACAATGGCAGGAATGGGTGTTGTGCATGTGCATATGAAAGAATGGCATGAAATGTAAGAAATAACCTTAGAGAGTATTTCCTGTCTCTTTCCTTCCAGCTGTGGCTCCATCTGAAGGTTTTTCTCTGTAAACAATTTAAGAAACATATGCACAGGTCTTTAAATAGCTCAAGTCAACTAAAGCTTCTCTGTCATGACCGACCTATGAGGCAGGAAAGAAACATACGAGCCATGTCCACTATACTGGTGACTAACTCTTCTTTATCACCGGCGACCTGTTTTAGCTGTGGCAAACTCACAAAGAACTCCAGTAACACATCCTCGTTTTCAGACATTTCCGACAACTGGGTCAGACTGGGGAGAGGTGAAGCAGAAGGATAAACAGGAAAATATATATATCAGTGGGTAAGGCAATGTGAACAAAGAGAAATAAATGCTGTAACAATCAGTAGAAAATAAAACAATATTCTGTAATACTTTACTTCAAGTCACAGAGTTCAGGAAAAGACTCGGGAATCTCGGGCATCCTGTACATATGACCATTCAGTCCAGCCTGAAAAGACAGAGGTATGAGAATATGCTGTCATGCAAAAATATGTCACATTCTTCAATTTAGTATCTACACAGACATTTTAAATAAAACTGACTAAGTACTGTAGCTCCAACTGTATTTACTTTCAGTGTAGTTGGCAACCAGGGCAGCAATTTATCAGCAGAAAAGCTCCTGAACACAAGACATTCTGACTGTATATAATATTACAAGACAAGAACAAAAAAACCATCCTGACACTTGATTGGGCTCATAACTGGCTGGAAAAATTTACGGCTGTCAATTTTGAGCGATGTTCTTTTTTTTTTTTTATTGCTTGCTTTTATTATTATCATTTGATTGGATAAAACTGATGAGGCTGTCCCTGGTAGGCTAGTGGTTAAGGCACAGCGCTCTCGCCGCAGCGCCCTGGGTTTGAATCCAGGTTGCGGCAGGAAGGGCATACATATATATATTTATCAATCGCTTTTAAAGCATGGGAGCTGGGCTGAGTATTCTACTGTGTGAGAAGCTGATAAAAATCTTGTTACAACTTGAGTACATTATCTATCATCAGTGTACTTGTGAGTCTCCAGTAGGTACAGGCAGTGGCAGGTCTGAAATCAGTCCATATGGGGCTGGAGCTCGAGGGGGCCCATGAGCACTATCCACCCCTTGGTGAGGCGTGGGAGCTGGGCCTTGACCAGGAGGTGGCGTCTGACTGGGACCAACATGTCGGGGACCGTAGTGGAAAGCCTGAGTGGGGTAAGAGCCGATGCCCGATGGCTTATACATGCTATTGGAATAAATGAAAAAGAAGTTTATTTCACTAAAGCATCCCAAATATACCCTTAGAGGAAACCATAGTAACAATAAGTCTTTTTCACAAGCTGGATCTTACTTTGTGTATTATTATGTCATGTTAAAAAATTTTTATTTAAAACTATTTACTTTGTTACAGCTCCTTTAATAGTTTTTAATAATGTTTATGCATCTATTACTTTTTAAATTTATTTCCATTTTGTGTGTGCGTGTTTCTTGTTTGCTATTCACCTAATGGTTTGATTTAAGAATAGGGGATAAAAGAGTTTAAAATAAAAAAATATATAAGTGAAATACAACATAACATGATAAAATTTACATTCATTATGGTTATAATGAACAACTGCTTTTTGTAACCGTTTTCTTATTGCATTCCCCAAGTAGATAGCAAAAATATTTCAGTAAAATATGGTCACAGAACATCAGAAATCTTTTCAAATAAGAATATAATGACAAAGTAGTGAAAGACAAATGTTTTTTATTCTCCATGAACGTGTGTGGACACTCACTATGGAAAGCCAGTGGGACCAGAAGGCATCAGGGCAGGAGGACTTTTCCAGAACTCATCCAGCAAACTCTGAATGACCTTCCCCAGATCTGAGTGCATCCCAAACTATAACATACACAACAAGAAGATTTAAATGCTACAATGAAAACATCAGAGGTACAGTTGAAGCATGGACTAACAAAAGACACTCAATTTAATTAGGTAATTTTTCTTAATGGAGAGCAAAGTGGAAAGTAAAGACAAGGTAACAGAATAAAACACTGCTGCTACTGTTGACCAACATTATATCTGCATGCACACAAGAAAACAGGATACTAAAAAAAAAGAAAATGCATCTGCTTGATTAGTGTGTAAATTGTATTTACATGCAGCTGGTCATTAATCAGACTTCTTCCCCTTCTCTGTTTTAAACTATGACTGTGTGTGCACACTAGTATCTCTAATATGACCAAGATAGTGTATTCTGCTGAGAGAGTGGCTGGGATGTGAAGGGGTCAAACAAAAGAAAGACAAAGATGATCACAGATGTGCATAATAATGGGCTAGTGAATATTAGAAATGGGAGAGAGAGAAAAAAAACTTATTACACTCTGTCTTCCGAATAATCATAACATCCTGAACATTTTATTTTTCTGGTCAAATCAACAAAGCACAGTTTTTCTTCACATGGTATTCACATGGGTCTGAATTGTGCAAAGACCTACTGTGGAAATCACCTCATTTAGATATATTCATTTCAGTTTCGCTTTTAGTCAGATGTGAAATTTTATCAGTTTGAACAGACCTATGAGTAATGACCATTCCTTTCTAACACTCACACTGCTGCCCTGGTGATAAAATCACCGTACTGTGTTTTATTTACTGGGTTTCTGTTCATCCTTTACACAGAAAATGAAAACTATGTTAATGTAATTAGGTTAAAGTTAACAACACTGTAAGTAAACATCAAGAAAGATTATGTCAGTGGATGTCAGCAGTCAGAATTATGTCAACCCACCTCTATCACAGTTTTATTTACAACACATAATTGTAATACTACTATTGACTAGGGAAGTTACTTTTTCCAAAAATCATGTTTGAATTAATTCCCTGAACTTTGAATAGGAAGTGATAGCCCTACTACTGACACAAGAATAACACCAACAAAATCTGTATGCACATTAGCAAACACCATGGCCAACAATTATCCATCTCTCTTTCTGAATGTTTCATATCACACATCTGGGGGGAAAAAAAAAAAAACACACCCATTGACACCCTACACTTCAACATTTGGGAAAGCCCCTCAAAACCCAAGCTCGGGAAACACGATCTTAACATAGTGAAAATAAAAAGCTTAACCAACTACTTACATTAGTGATGAGGGAGCTTGTGATTATGGTGCCATTATTGCCGTCAACTAAATGATGACCCACAGGGGGGTAGACACTAACCACTGGCTTCTCCTGAGGAAACTGAGGAGGCAGCAGACTGGAAGAACCAGGCAAAGTACTTTAGCTTTCAGGATTCCCACTAACAGGATATATAACAAGATATAAAATGTGTTACTACTGTAACACCGTATTATGGCAGTGCAAAATGTATTTATCTCTACAAACCAGCTCTGTATCCTCTGAGGCCACACAAATGGTACAAACTGAAACCTTAATAACAGTGGAAGGAATGTGGTAAAGTCAAGGTCACTTTTACTCTATATGCTTTACTTGGGATTAATGCAGGTCTGTAAATTTGTATTTAAACAGAAAGAAGAACACCAGAATGCAGTTTTAAGCCCTTTCCAATAGTGGTTTGACATTATGTGAAACTCCATTCCACGTTTTTGTAATTTAAACACCAAACCACAGTGGTTGAGGTACAGACTGACTGTGATCCTACTGCTATTCTGACAATTATGAGTGTATGTGCACAGTTGAACTCACATATTAACATTAATGGTGGAGTTGTTGACTGTGAATGGTATTCTGTACTCCACATCCTTCTGGATCTCTGCAAGGCTGTTGAGAAAGAGACATGTGTGAATGCCATGATCTGTAATCTTAACAAACACAAGGACAGTTTCTTCCCACATGCATCACTCTCATGAACAGTTCATCTACGATTGTATGACAGGACAGAGCAATCACCCCAGTGCAGTAAATTGTAAATAGAACCACTATATCAATCTGAAATCTCTTCTACCACAATGTGTATATATATATTTATAAGTAGAGTGTGTATTTTTCCTATTTGACTGCACACTTCTCATTTTGAATGCACACATATTTATTTGATGTTTTTTTTATTTTCTTATTGCCTTACACAATACATTGATATCCTCTGTACTGGAGTCAAATTCCTTGTGTTTAAACATACTTGGTCAATACACCTGATTCTGATTCCAGTCTGAACTTGCATGCAATAACTGTCATGCTACTGTTTGAGTCATCCCTACAAAAAGTTTATGTACACTGCAAAGAAATGTAATGACAACTAATGTTGATACTGGTCATATTTTTAACTTTGTATCTTACACAGTATACCTAACAATACATTATTTACCCCTGATGAAGCCTGTGAAGAGCTCTGTATCAAGAACACTGGTCTTACACATCCCGGTAGTATTTCATGGGTTTGAATTGTGCTTCCCAATCCACTTATTTCTCAACATTATTGCCGTCCTATAATCAATACATTAGCGCCTGTGGCGTCGACAATCCCATGAACAAACGTCACGTCCATAACAAATGCAGTGTCCATTTCTGTCGGCATACTTTGCGTCAGACGGGAGACGACTATGAAACAATGCATCTGGCTGACAACAGATGACCTAAGAGAACAGACTGTTTACGTCGCCGGTGATAGTAGAAAGCTAAAAACAATCTCTGAAACGGCAGAGCTGCTTAGTAAACAACGGCTAATACGTTAATCTCCGCATCTAATTAGCCGCAGTAGCTCATTCTGAAACCGCATGGATGACAAGTTGGCTTGACAAACACTGGGATTGCCACAGGACGTGGACAGTTTGCTACGACTTGTGCCGTCAGCCTATCTAAAAATAGATACTGTAAAACCGTCTTGTTTAGCCAGACAGCTAGCACAGCAACCTGGCAAAACACATCTAGCTAGCTAAGAGAAAGGGTTAGCAAACATAAGTCAAGTAAAATCGTGACACTTGTGTAGCATTTTGACATGTTGATAGAATAGCAGGCACAAATGTTAACGACAAACAAGTCTATTTGATATCCTAAAGTACTTCTGAAATAACGTTAACTGTGAGCCAGGTGACTAGCTGTGCTAACTAAACATAAGCTGTTTATGTAAACTGAGTCAACATGTTCCAGTAGAGTGAATAGGTGACTAGCAGTGCTAAGTAAACATAAGCTGTTTATGTAAACCGAGTCAACACGTTCCAGTAATTAACGTTAATGCAGTGAGTGAAGTGTTAACAAGCAGCACCAGAGTCTGGTTTTAGGTAACCGGTTGCTGTTCACGGTACCTGGGGTGAGCGGCTTTGAGTGACTCGATCTGCCGCTGTCTTTGTTGCTGTAGACTGTTCAGAGGAGGGAGCGGTCCAGAGCCTTTGGACGGGGGGAAAAGCCAGTTCATCCTCTCCTGGCGAAACCACGAACTTAACTTTGCGACAGAATCTAAAGGCCGAATACAGATGAAGACGAAATGGAAGAGAAAGTGAGCATGAGCAGCACACGGGAGTGGAGATTTGTACTGCTAACCCTCGTTAGCTTGTCGACTAACGACTCGGTTTGTGGCTAACTTTGTGCTTACGTTACAAAATCAGATGGCATATCCTCATGTGTGCAATAAAATGTCACTCCTGTTTTAGCTCCAAGGGGTTGGATGTAGTTCAAATACTGCCATTAATATTACTAAAACGAGAGCTAATTATAGCTAAAAGAAGACAACAACCTTGCGAGTAGAAGCTTGATCAACTTATTTACGCATTACGTCACGCAGCAAGTCTACGTAAAGCGTAACTTCCTGTTATCAGTTTTTTTCAAACTAAAGGTTTAAAATATAAAATATTATTTTTATAAGCCTGAGATTTGAAATACAATGAGTACGAGTCAAAACAATAACATATCATTTTTAAAACTGTTTTGATTATTTAATTATCATTATTTTGCATATAAGCCCTGCGTTTATTATTTCATTATTTATTAATTTGACTGCTACAGCGGCTCTCAATGTGTACACATACATGTCAACAAGCAAGGGAATGTGCATTAGGAAAGAGAGAATAAAAAATAAGAGTAACTGTTTTGAGCGTGTTCAGCTCCAGGTTGTTGCGGCTACACCACAGGACCAGCTGCTCAACCTCCCGTCTGTAGGCTGACTCATCACCGTCACGGATGAGTCCAGTGACTGTTGTGTCATCTGCAAACTTTAGGAGCTTGACAGAGGGGTTCTTCGAAATGCAGTTGTTGGTGTAGAGTGGAAACTATATTTAATTACGTTTTAATTATTTTTTTTACCTTTAGTTTACTCGCTTTATAACGTCTTTATATTATTTTCCATGTTGTATATAATATGTAGATTATTGATCTAATTAGCACAACATTGTTCTGACTTTAACTCAGAATTCTGAGATTAAAGCAGAATTCAAATAAATTTATGCAGTGGCCCTAATCCTCTTCTGTAGAGATGGCATTTTGAATTTTGCCATGTTAAACTTCATGTTTAACATGGAAAAAACAAATAAACTATGAAGCACAACCTGTACATGCCCACAGTCCTGGAGGTCTGTGCCTTAAAACGCAGACATTACAAGCTGATAAATGTCACTACTCATCCTTTTGGTTTACAGAACCACTTCCTGTAATGACTACCCAAATTTATCAGATCTTGAAATTAGTTAAATATGCTTCCACTTACAAACTTATTTTGGAATCACAATAACTCTGCCTTTTAATATAGTTCCTTCTACCACTCTGATCATATTTGCTCCCTCACTTCTCTACAGGGAAGCAAAGAAATACTTAGTCTGCTTTCCCCTCTAAAAAGCACATTGCAACCCACAATTGATTTTATTTGATTTATTTATTCTTTCAAACATGTAACAACAGTCAGTATGTAATCACACAAAATTACAGACATATCCACAAAAATATTTTCAAATTGCTTATACCTAGTACATGCTTGAACGGAGTAGGAAGAAGTTAGACTTATCTAGTCCTACCCCCTATGACATCATCTTATCGTCATTGGTTTGCAAGCAGTATTACTACATGGATACATATTCTACATCC